TTTTTTATGGTCGATCAAATAGCCTGGAGCCCCTTGGATTAATCGCTTGCCCCTCAATTCGAATGTCCTTTTTTACCATAAAAAAATAATACAACATTAAAACAGGTTTTCGGATTAGTGGATTTGTGTAATGATTATCAATAGCGTTTTACGTAGCTCATTACTGTGAAAGCACCAATATAGCGAATATTTGCATTTTTTGTCTTTCCATCTGTCTTTTTGATTTATTTTAGTCTTTTTTCCGAGTATAATATTTGAAGTAATTCGACATCATCAGATTCACCAAATTCAAGAGAGCAGCAATAAGCGGTGGATCAGGGAAAGTTCCTGGCCTGGTGGTTTCCAGCAAAAACGCGAATCGCCGCACTCCCTCGAAAATTCCCTAAAAAATTTTCACTGAATAATGAACAAAGTGTGTACGATACATATATTACCTTAATATCCAACCATTTCGGAGCGGGTACTATCACATTGTAAAGGCGGATATTTCCTTGAGCTGAAAATTGTTTATTTCAGATAATTTTCAGAATCATGAGTACAAAAAAATTTGTACCATCCGCGGGACTTTTGAAGGGTTTCCTACGTATACTTTCCGTTGTGCTCTTCCTTGAAAAAACGTCCATCTCCTAAACTACTTCATTTTTTCAAGGAAGAAATGGCCAAAGTCGAATCCAAAAAACGCAGAGCACAGACTTTACTTATGAAATAATAAACTAGTGCTCACTCCGAATTCATCGGCGGTTTCTGAATCCGAGCAATCGTCGTCGTTATTCTCCTGCTTGGAAGATTTTAGCAGATTGAATGCTAAAAAATTTGAGTGATTTCTGAAGGATAGGCAATCAAAAGTAAAAGTAGGGCTCACCGAAATGAAGTTTCGGTGCACTTTTCTTCTTCAACATGGCTGCGGACACTAAAGGTGAGAGGCTGTCATCGATGGACGAAATCGTGCGAGGAGTTGAGGGCGACGAATCCGCATCCGAGTCATCCGCTCCGCTCTTCAGCATCGAGTCATGCGATGTCTTAAAACATTAACAATCGTGACAGTATTAGATAATCATTTTCCGATTTCACCTTTTCCTTCTTTTTGAACAATCCTCTCCTCAAGGAAGCTTGATCGTTGCGACTTGGAGGGGCAAGATTTCCACTAGGGCTGCTCTTACCACTATCGTCCCTTCTCGGCAAGTCGCTGCTAAAGTTGACAGTTGAGATGAGAATGACACAGATAGTTTTACAAAGGTTTTTCGTTCCAACTCAGGAAGGGTAGTTTTTACAGAAGGAAATCTTCTGCGTAGGAGACTTACTGGCCAGTAAGGGCTCCGGTGGCTCGCGCGTTCAAGAC